TTCGATGCAGCACCCGGATAAACGCGGCACTTTCCCAATTAACCAAGAACCACCATCAGATCATACACGTACACGGGCGAGTGACCCTGTTTATCATCACGGTACAAAAGGGGTGCATTTAACCTGACATTTGTATCAAACAATGATTTCCTGTCAACTTTATTTGATTTGAATGCCGTTCGTTTTGCAGGAAGTGCAAAGCTTAGTGACGAAGTGGAAGCAGTAGAATTACTAAGTATGTAGACACACGTTCGATCATTTGCAATTTGTCCAAAATGAAAGCATGGTGTTTCATGGAGAGCACACCACGAGCAAAAAAAATGGGTTCCACAACTTTTATTTCTTAAGAATATAATGATGCCGTGTTTTACGCGAGGGAGCTCTGGATCTTTCAGCTAAGCAACTGTTGACTTTGCTCCACAACTTTTAAGCACTTATAACAGTCGTCAGTATTTACTGCTGGGCTCTCGCAGGAAGTTTGAATGTCATTGTGTGGTCGGTTTAACCTATACGCTTTGAACAAATGCGCCCGGCGATATTGCAATGACTATGCTTCGAGAATAGGCTCCAAGAGTAGACTCCGAAAAAACTGTCCTCTACCTTAGTAAAGCCCTCTGGATCCCTTTGGTTTGACACTATTCAATTGTACCCGGGTTTTAATCGGGCGAGTACGTTCGTTTGCATGAGTTGTACTCCAGGTGTGAGATATCAACGTATGACATACATAATAAGAATTGCTACTCGTGTATGTAGTAAACCTTATTAACTTATACATGTATTGGGTGCGACCATTTTGTGGCTATCTTATATAACAGAATTATCAAGTTGCATGAATTATTTCTAAGCATGAGTAAGTGTGGACTCCACAGTATAAACTGCTACAGTTGTTTAGTCTTGAATGACTTGACTCCTATTATGAAATCCAGAAAGTTTTACTTGCATGACGAAGTATCGGCTAGTAAATGCAGGTGGCAATCATTATCTTTGCTGGACAAAGTCGATAGCACAATGTCGGTAACCTTGATATACGCATTATTTTGTGGACGCGTTTTTTTTTTAACCAGGGCTGCCGTTGGCAACTTGATCTGACAGTGAAACCGCCACGACCAAGTCGGCTACTGTCATTCTTCTGTATTCCGTTGTATTTGAGGTCATTACCAAAAATGACGATTAGTACTGCCGCCAACACGGAGCTATTGGAAGCAGCGAGGAAGGGGCTATTACGCAAAGTGAAGCGTGCGATTAAGAATCGTGCAGATGTCAGTTGTCGAAAAAGGATTGACGCCCATCATGCCGGCAGCCCACCGCGGGGATATCAAAATCGTTGACGTTCTGGTACTACACGAAGAATTTGAAGAAAACGGCCTGTCGAAACCATTGGATACATACCAGAACGAAGCCCTATGTATGGCGGATGCGTGTGGCCAAACGGAGGTGGCTAGCGTGCTTCTTGACTACGGAGCTGACAAAGACGCTCAAGCCGAGAACGCCCTGACACCGCTGGTGTATGCCGCTATGCGTGAGCATATTGGTTCGACTCCACTTTTAATGCAGTTGGGAAGCATATATCGATGCCCGAACGAACAAGAGAGCCACTGCTCTCCACTACGCTGCTCGAAATGGGAGATTCCAGGTTGCTCGATTGCTATTTGACTCCGGAGCAGATGTCGACGCGTTGGGCGATAAATTGAACACACTATTAATGGAAGCTGTTCCAGAGGAGCATTTAAAAGTTGGCGACTTGCTTCAATCGAGCGGAGCGCGCATTTATATGCCAGATAAGCATGAGCGCACAGCACTACACCTCGCGGTAGAGAGAGAAGAGCTCGCAGTGGTGAAATTGCTACTGGATAGTGGTGACGATGTCTGGGTTTATACGGCGGACAATCAGGGATTTACACCTCTGATGACTGCGGCCTGGTGGGGGTAACGACAGTTTTCGGATGGTACTTTTGAAGCGAGGGTATCGTGTGGATGCCACAGCGAAGGACGGAAGCACAGCTCTGCATTTGGCTGCGTACAACGGGCATATTGATGCCTGTCGGGTTCTGATCGGAGGTGGTGCCGACGTGAATTCGGTAGATAACGCCGGTTTGACCGGGTTAAGAAAGGCTGTTCAAATGAAACACATAGACGTCACCAAACTACGTTTGCAGTTCGGGGCCAATGCTCGAACAACGACCAGCTCGAAAACATTGCTACACATCACAGTCGAGAATAGCGCCGAGGATGTTTTGGATTTACTTTTGGACCACATCAAGTGTATTGATGCTGTTGATGATAAGGGATTCACACCACTTATGGTAGCTTCACGAAATGGGAAAGATGCGGCAATTGACCAGCTGCTCGCGTGAAATGCAAGTGCTGACGCTCGTACGAATGACGGTAGCACCGTACTACATCTAGCAC